AGTGGTCCGATTCACTATAAGGCATCTTCATGTGTTCACGTGGAAGAGTTAAAACTAAATAGCTTCCACAGCTGCTCTTGTTCTCATACTCTTGTCTTATTTTATCTTGTCGTATCGTTTTAAACGTGTATGACATTTGTGACGGAGTGAGCTCCCGTCTCTAGTTCCCGCTCCTGCCAACCTAGCAGTTCGAAAGCAAGAAATGGCAAGTAGATAAATAGGTACCACTTCGGTGGGAAGGGAACAGCATTCCGTGCGCCTTGGTGTTTAGTCATGCCGGCCACATGACCACGGAAATGTCTTCGGACAGCGCTGGCTCTTCGGCTTTGAAACGGAGATGAGCATCGCAACCCTAGAGTCGGACTCGACTGGCTTTCGAGCAAGGGAGACCTTTGCCTTTACCTTTTAACCCACTCTGAGCCTGCTTCGGCGGGGAGGGCGGGATATAAAATAAATAAACAAGAAGAATAGATTGGATTTATACCCCGCCCTTCACTCAGAGTCTCAGAGCGGCTTACAAACTCCTTTCCCTTCCCCTCCCCACAACAGACACCCTGTGAGGGAGGCGGGGCTGAGAGAGCCCTGACTGAGAACTGCTTTTTCAAGAACAGCTCTGACAGAGCTATGGCTTCCCCAAGGTCATCCAGCAGCTGCAAGCGGATGAGTGGGGAATCAACCCCGGTTCTCCCAGATTAGAGCCTGCACACTTAACCATGACACCAAACTGGCTCTCCCAATGGAGGTACTCCCCCAATGGAGGCAGGGTCTTTCTTTCCAGCCCTGTTAGAGAACAGTCTCTCCCTCATCCTCCTCCCCAACCACCCTGATTCAGAAAATACCAATTAGGGCTTAAAGGGCAGCCTGGACGGAATCCAAGCAGCATGGAATTCTTCCAAGCCTTCTTTACCATCAGTTTCACATATGAAGTGAAAGGTAGGAATGGCAAATGCTGGTGGAACGGGGCTCATCTCGTTGAGAGTTCTCAAATCTTTCTTTGAAGCGCGGGGGGGGGCTTTTCTGGATGTGAACCTGCCCTCCTAGGATGACACCTCAGAAATTCTTCCATCTCCTTTTCCAAATGAGGGTTAAAATTATTGCCAAAAGAGGACTAATTCCGGGAGCCCAGAGTCTACACGACATTCTCCCCACAAATCTTAATTTTCATAGGTGGTTGTTCCTATAACACACTAGCTATCTTCGTTACTTGTATAGATGTCTTTGTTTAGATGATTAAGCTTATATCTAATGTTTGGCTCCTAATTCCGACTATTGATATAAAAGGTCAGAGTAGTCATATGACAAAGAATAAGTCTCCCCACAAACCTCAATTACCATAGGTGGTTTTTTCCCCTATAACACACTAGCTATCTTCTTTAATTGTATAGATGTCTTTGTTTAGATGAGTAAGCTTATATGTAATATATGGCTCCTAATTCCGACTGAGGAGCTGCGGTGGCTCAAGTGGTTAAAGACGCTGAACTGCAGGCTGTGGAAGGTCAGTAGTTCAGCAGTTCAAGACCCGGGTGCCGCATGATGGAGTGAGTTCCCAGCTTCAGTGCCAGCTCCTGCCAACCTAGCAGTTCGAAAGCAAGAAATTGCAAGTAGATAAATAGGTACCACTTCGGTGGGAAGGTAACAGCGTTCCGTGCGCCTTGGTGTTTAGTCATGCCGGCCACATGACCACGGAAACGTCTTCGGACAGCGCTGGCTCTTCGGCTTTGAGCACCGCAACCCTAGAGTCAGATTCGACTGGCTTTCGAGCAAGGGAACCTTTACCTTTACCTTTAATTCCGACTATTGACATAAAAGGTCAGAGTAGTCATATGACAAAATAATAAGTCCAGGATAGCAAGCAGTGTCTCCTAGATCTTTATCAACCTTTATCAAGTCTACCTTTGGTTCACGGGTCATTTGGTAAATACTATGTTCTCAATTCTTATATCCCTCTAATGTATACCCTCCTGTTGTTTTTAGTGCTTGTGTTATTTATTTTTCTGCTTTCTATTGTATTACTAAGTAAAAGAATAAAAAATCTTAATTAAAAAAACAAGAGTCTACACCCTCAGTCAGAGTTCATCTGTCTTCCACTGGAGTCTTCCCATTTCATTTCCATCTTCCTTTTGGAAGAGGAAGTGGGGACCCAAGCAGTGAGGGTGGGTGGAGGATGAACAGAGCACATCTTGATGTCCTCCTTCCCTCACTAGGCCACTGTCGGAAGCGAAGTTTGGATCCACGCAATGGGTCGGATCCTTCGATTTTGTTCCACTGGTGGGTGGTACAGTTTGGTGTCGTGGTTAGGTGCGCGGACTCTAATCTGGGAGAACCGGGTTTGATTCCCCACTCCTCCACTTGCACCTGCTGATGTGACCTTGGGTCAGTCACAAGCTCTGGTACAGCTGTCCTTGAAAAAGAGCCGTTTGTGTCAGAGCTCTCTCAGCCCCACCCACCTCACAGGGTGTCTGTTGTGGGGAGGGGAAGGGAAAGGAGTTTGTAAGCCGCTCTGAGACTCCAAGTGAAGGGCGGGGTATAAATCCAATCTCTTCTTCTTCTTCTTCTTCTTCTTCTTCTTCTTCTTTCCCTCCATCACAAGGGGCCTGACATACAGTGCTGTTACATCAGTGGAGGAGGGCTGTATGTTGTCAGAGAGCTCCTTTTGCCGGAGGAACACAGTTGAACAGAATAGTAGGATCCAACCCACTTTTCCTTTTTTTGGCATCAAGGGTTTTTCTGTGGACCAGACAGAATTATAGTAGCAACAGATGGCTGGGGGTTCTTTTGGCTGTCATAGCACAGAACCAGGGCACAGCAAAGGTGTCAGGTAAACCTGCTACAGCCAAGTGCATTCAGAAAAATGTACTGCAACTTGGGCATTGAAGGTGTCTAACTTGGGCATTGAAGGTGTCTAATTGCATGGGAAAGAGCAGGTAGAGAAAGAGGTACTTTTCTCCCTTTCTCACAATACAAGAACTCGTGGGCACTCCATGAAATTGCTGAGCGGTCGGGTTAGAACGGATAAAAGGAAGTACTTCTTCACCCAAAGAGTGGTTAACCCATGGAATTCACTGCCACAGGAAGTGGTGGCGGCTACAAGCATGGACGGCTTCAAAAGGGAATTAGATAGGCATATGGAGCAGAGGTCCATCAGTGGCTATTAGCCACAAGGTATAGATAGGGACTCTGGGGCAAGTGATGCTCTGTCATCTTGGTGCTTGGGGGGGTCAACAGTGGGAGGACTTCTAATGTCCTGGCCCCACTGGTGGACCTCCTGATGGCACCTGGTATTTTTGGCCACTGTGTGACACAGAGTGTTGGACTGGATGGGCCTTTGGCCTGATCCAACATTTTTTTTATTTTTATTTATTTATATTTCAATTTGTATCCCGCTCACCCCTGAAGGGCTCTGAGCGGCTTACATGTTCCAATTCATACAATCCTAAACCTAGGGCCACATACATATAGGGGACGTGAGAAGCCTACCAGGCACGCTTTCTGTGTAGCGGAACATTGGCATCTCTTATGTTCTTATGTTCTTATGTCTTTTCCCTGCTCACATATCTATTGCAGTTTGGCATACTTGTGTGAAATGTGGTTGCATGAATGCAATGGATGTACACAGGCTGGTGTCCATGACATCACTTGCGATGACTAAATCCCTTTCCTTCATATCTGTTCCTTTATGAACTTCTGAGAAGGTTATTTCTTTTTGTATGTGCCTTTAAAGCCCTTTATGGTCAGGGGCCTACATACCTGAGGGACCGCCTTTCCCCACATGTTCTCCAGAGAGCAATGTGATCAGGGTCGCAAAATCAACTGGCCCTCCCGAGCCCCAAGGATGCCAGGCTGGCTGTAACCAGGGCCAGGGCTTTCTCGGTGGTGGCTCCGTTCCGATGGAATGAGCTCCCAGAAGAGATCAGGGCCCTGCGGGACCTTATGCAGTCCTGCAAGGCCTGCAAGACGGAGCTCTTCCACCAGGCTTTCGAGTAGGGGCCGGCACCAATAGTTGAAAGGCAGAGAACCCTGACCCCTGGAGCCATCGACAACAGCCTGTGCCAGCCATATAAAGGATTAGCTCTATGGGCTGATCACTAGAATACATCACTGATTGATATGATTACTATCAGCAGGGGTCATTTCGTAGAAAAAGAGGTGCTGGAGCTCATTAGCATAACACATTAGCAGAACTTATTTGCATATGCCACACACCCTGACATCACCGGACGTGTGTCAGAAGGCAACACCCATGGCTCAGGCTCCACTGGACTCTTCTGGATTGCTAGCTATTGGGGGGGGGGAATGTGCAGATCTGTCCTCGCAGAGGAGGGAGAGCTTGTACCTGAATAAAACTTGGTCTTAAAGGTGCCACTGGACTGTTTTGGACCGGGAAGGGGGGGGGCTCTGCAGCTTACCTGGCTGCTTCCTGCTCTGACTGAGGGCTGCTGGGAGCAGGGGGTGGGGCTTGTTGCATGTGCCCACCCACTGGGCTCTTTACTGCCGGAGCTCTGCTCCTGTGCGCTCCCGCAGGAAATGACCCCTGAATCAGTATCCCCTAACGTTGGATTATTTTTAGATGATTTTAGGATTGTTTAAATTGTTAGTGGTGTGTTTTTATTCTTTTATGTGAGCCGCCGTGAGCCGCCTTCGGCTGGGAGGGCGGGGTATAAATCAGACAGACAGACGTATGTTTTCTGACCTCATGTTGGAGTACCTCTGATAGAATCACTGTGGAATGGGAGTTTTTATGTACCTCTTAGAAAGAAACAGAAGCTCTGACCAGCACCATCACTATGACTCCTGACATTTTGTAGACATTCTTCTTTCTTTTAAAAAAAAAAAAAAAAACCTCGACCAGCAGGTGAATTCTCTGCAACACGTTTATCCCCCATACAGCGGACCTCCTTCAGGCCGTGGCCTGGACAAAAGGGCACTGGTACTGCGGCTCTCCGGCAAAGCTCTTAACATGCGGTAAAACTAAAAGCTCTGGTTTTTTTCTCCTTTCCCAGGATGTCTTGAATACTGTCATCAGGCACTGCCCGCCCTACTTTTTCTTCTTGGGCTTACCTGGCTTCACATTGCTGATAGGAGACTTCATAACAGCCGCAGCCAGAGTGCTGAGTACAAACATGTTGGAAGTAAGTATGGCAATGCTGGCCGTCCATGTTCCCGAGAGATGGCACAATTGTTAGTGAGGTTCAGATTTCTCTACTCTAACAGGTGTCGGCTCATTAGTGCAATGTGAAACTGGGCTCTGGGGGCAGACACCATGGCAGCTGAGGTGTGAAATTGTAGGATAAGGTGACACGCGAGGACTGCAAAGGTGTTTCATCAAAAGGACAAAGTGTGAGAAATCATATCCTCGCTAATACGGCAGCACCATTTGCACTCTAAAAGCAAGGCTTGAGTTTCAGAATATCGTTAGGGTGTTTTTGTTGTTGAGAGAAGAATATTGTCAAGTGGGAAACAGCCATGTAATTTTTCCCTGCCGCATGTGGAATACATTGCATGGAGCAGTGGCAAAGAAGAAATCTTTTTTTAAAAACCCATGATTATTGCTGTATGATCCAAGGGTTATGTCTCGGGTGGGAGGTCTGAGCAAGTCTGCATTTATTGTTTGGTTGTGTTCAAGACGCACATAGAAGCTTGTATGGTGCAGGCTGAGGAGATTAATATTTATTTATTTATTTTATTTTTTTAATTGATAGCCCACTCTCCCCGCAAGCGGGCTCAGGGCGGCTCACAAATAGGGCAAATGCCAATACATAAAGCAAGTTAAAAACAACATGAAAACAATCATTTACAATATTCCAAGTGCCGAGCACCGAAGAATAGATGCTTTTGAACTATGGTGCTGGAGAAGACTCTTGAGAGTCCCTTGGACTGCAAGAAGTTCAAATCAGTCAATCCTAAAAGAAATCAACCCTGACACTTCCCTGGAAGGCCAGATAATGCAACTGAAGCTCAAAGACTTTGGCCACCCAATGAGAAGGGAGCACTCACTGGAGAAGACCCTGATGCTGGGAAAGATTGAAGGTCAAAGAAGAAGGGGAGGGCAAAGGATGAGCTGGTTAGACAGTGTCACAGATGCAACGAACATGAAATTGAGCCAACTTCAGAGGACGGCGGAAGACCGGAAGGCTTGGCGTGATCTGGTCCGTGGGGTCGCAAAGAGTCGGACTCGACTGTGCGACTGAACAACAACAACAAAGGGCTCTAGATGCTTCAGTCAGTCTTCAATAAAAGATGGCATCTCAAAGATGGTGCTCCCAGTTCAATGGTGTCCGCTCCAGGCAGCGTTGTCGTTCACTCTTCACAGGGCCAATTGGTAATGATGGCCAAGGTGGTGATGGTAAAGGTAAAGGTAGAGGAATGTAAGTACAGGAATGTAAGTTTAACAGCAATTTTGAGGTATCTGGTCTTTATTTCTAAGTTTATAAATAGCACTCCTTTTTAATTGGCTGACATGTTAAAAACATAATCAGGTCTGTTAATGTACAAGAACTTGAACGCCAGTAAATAACTGGAAAAAGATATTCCAAAAGCACTCTAGGATCTATCAAATACTTCTCATCTATATTTTCCCTGGGGAATAAGTTTCTGGTTTGTTTTATTTTGAGGGGTGAGGGGATGTCTGAGCAATTCCATGACAATTGTGTTTCTTGAGCCTGGAATCAATAATTGGAAGGGAAACCAAGACAGAATAGCTTGAGTCTAATGTTAAGTGCATTATCTGGGAACTATTTCATGTTCTACTTACCGTGCCATCTAAAGGAAATCATATATATTGACTGTAGTCGTGCACCAAAGAGACTTATGCATGAACATCTTCATGGCAATTCTGTGATGCTTTAACAGATGTTAATGTCCCAAGGACGATACCGTCCAGGAGGGCTCTTTTATACACTGCCTTGCTGATACATATGATGCTGGTCAGTATTGTATTGTACTACCTTGTCATGTGAACATATGCACTCTGTGCTTTAAAAGTAACAGGATATAATCAAAATTATTAGAATGGTGGGCGCAGCCGTTAAGCAGTTCCCCATCTAGAAGCCTTATGTGGCCCAGTGTCATCTGCAGTAGCAGTCTTTTCTTTTTTGCAGTTTGGAACTTTGTTCCGCCGCTTCAGACCAACACGGATACCCACCCGAATCTTTCTTTTTTGCAGTTTCTCCGTACTGACTTTGCTCGTTACCTCTCCTTCCCATTTTAGCAAGTGAGAGCTAGTGGGCATGAACCAAGGGGGACTGCTATTAGGTCAGGGCCTTCGAGGCCTCTTGACACCAGGTAATTACAAGGGAAAGCTCAGTGCCACTTCACATGGTACAGTAAAAGGTCAGCTTCGCATTTCCATGGGGGTATCGGTGGCATCTTGTCAGCAAAGTCTAAAGGAAGAGTGCATGCAAAATGGATGGAACCATGTGGCGAAAAGCATTACCCAGTCACAGTTTCCAGGACTGCTGCTTGCTGTCTGATGCGTTTGCAGAGAGGCATCTCCCCTTCTAGCAGTAGAGGAAGAAGTCCACACTGGCTTGTTTTTGTTGTTCAGTCGCACAGTCGAGCCCGACTCTTCGCAACCCCATGGACCAGATCCCGCCAGGCCTTCCTGTCTTCCACCGTCCTCTGAAGTTGGCTCAGTTTCATGTTCGTTGCATCTATGACACTGTCTAACCATCTCATCCTTTGCCGTCCCTGTCTTCTTTGACCTTCAATCTTTCCCAGCATCAGGGTCTTCTCCAGTGAGTGCTCCCTTCTCATTGGGTGGCCAAAGTATTTGAGCTTCAGCTTCAGTCTCTGGCCTTCCAGGGAACAGTCAGGGTTGATTTCTTTTAGGGTTGACTGATTTGATCTCCTTGCAGTCCAAGGGACTCTCAAGAGTCTTCTCCAGCACCATAGTTCAAAAGAATCTATTGTTCGGCGCTCAGCCTTCCTTATAGTCCAGCTCTCGTAGCCGTACATGACTACTGGGAATACCATTGCTTTGACCATGCGGACTTTTGTTGGCAGGGTGATGTCTCTACTTTTTATCATGCTGTTTAGGTTCGCCATCGCTTTCCTCCCAAGGAGCAGGCGTCTTTTCTGGCTTGTTGCAGAACTGCAAAGACCCGTTTCCTCCTATAATGTGTAAATGGTCCTCACATCTGTGCCCCTCAGGCCCAGAGCATGATCACTCAGACTGAGGTCACCTTTGCATAGCTACTTGCAGGAGCGCGTGATGCACAAAGCATCAGTCTGGATGATGCTTCTGTGTTCTTCTGCCTCCGTAGCTGCCTTTGCCCCAGTGCCAGCTGCTGTCACAGCGGACGTGCCCAGTCGTGCCTGTAAACACGTCTGGGACCGGGGGCACTGCTGACCTTTGGGAGCGACTGGAGACAGCCCTCGAACGGGAGTGTCTGATCAGCCCGACTGATCATTTTAAGTAATGCTGTTCCAAGAGGGATTATGAAAAAGAATTATTCGTTATGAAAAAGAATTATGTTTATTGACAAGATTTATCCCCCCCACCCCCCGTTATGTCCCACTTAACAGGCTCCCCGCTTGGAAGCTCATGCCATTCTGGGTTCTCTGGTTTGCTTTCCGAATCTGTATCAAGAAATCTCGCTGTTGCAACCCGTCGCAGAAGCAGAAATCAGAGGAACGACGGATGTCAAAGTAAACATTCGCTTCGTTAGCTGATCCCTATCTTAACGATTTAAAATTGTGGGAAGGGGGGGGGGTCTCAGGGGCAGAGCTTGGCAGGCAGAAGGTCCCAGGTCCAATCCCTGGCTGCCAGTCTGGGTAGATAATGCTGCCCTTCAAGATTCATAGAACCACATAGAGTTGGAAGGGGCCAAACAGGCCATCTAGTCCAGCCCCCCCCCCCTGCTCAATGCAGAATCAGCCTAAAGCATCCCTGACAAGGCTTTGTCCAGGCACTGCTTGAAGACCACCAGGGAGGGGGAGCTCACCACCTCAGGGGTCAGCCCTGGTCAGTACTTGGATGGGAAACCACCAAGGAAGTCCAGTGTCATGAGACAGAGGTAGGCAATGGTAAACCACTTCTTGAATGACTCTTGCTTTGAGAACCCTACAGGGCTGATATGAATTGGCTGCAACTTGACTTGAATGTGGGTTCTGACATTTCCTCTGACATGTTTATATGCTGACAGCTGTCACTGTGTCTTCAAAAGGTCTAATTATAATAGATCCAGATCTTGGTAGGTAACCTAGAATCTTCCGATTAGCGAAACGTATAGCAGAATATATATTTTATAACTGCACTTTTTGTATATGAAGTTATATATTCAGAAAAGACATTATAAGAGGCCTCTGGGGATAGAATTAG